CCTTGTTTTGCTTACCAGGCTCGCATGTGCCATTTGCTTGCGACGGATCCTAAGTGGATACCCACAACGTTGAGTTCGCACGAAGCTGCCTTGCTGCGTGCGCAAACAATCAATGGCACGAAGCTGTCATCTGGAAAGGTGCTACGAGCATCACCTGACCCCAGCCACGTTCCTTGTGGGTACGGTACTGTGAAAGCCAAATGTTTCCAGGGTTCAGTTGCTGGTGGTTGGCGACACACGTGCGCGAAGAGCTTACACAGCTGTTTCCGAAAGATAGTTTCCTGGGGCCGTTGCGAAGCAAACGTTAGGCGAATCTTCCGACAAGTTGCTCGAGCCACGACGCTCCTGGTGAGCAAGTATTGTCTCGGATGGGAGACGTTAAACCTAAAAACCAGTGCGACGGACTTGAGAAGGCGCTTGTCAAAGTTGGATTTCAGCTGTACGTGTTGCCCTAAGTGTGGTGTTGAGCGACAGTTGGGCATTTCCCTTCTGGTTGCAGATGCCGGTCAGATGTATGAGCAAATTGAGCCTTCAGATGTTTTGGCCAAGCTGCACAGAGTTGTTCGCTCTGCACAGGGTGACGGCTATGAAGCTGTTGTGCTGATGAAGTGCAAGAAGCTCCGTGGAAGTTTGTGCCGTTCTTCGCATGTCGTTGTTGACGGTGCCGATGTGTGGCCTTTTCGTGATCTCGTTGCAGTCCTTGAGCTGTCACTGCATGAAGCGCTGCTGCATGTGAGATGGGGTGACCGTATCATGCGCCAAGCTTCTGGTAGCCCCATCGGCGGCCTCATGTCTCGATTGCATGCCATGTTGGCGCTTGGCCCGGCAGAGGTTGACTTTGTGCGTTGCGCGGCCTCACCAAGAGCCACAGAGATGGCCGCAGTGAGGTATGTCGATGACTTGCTGCTGGTGTCCACCTGGTGTCTAAGTTGCTTAAAACCGGTTGTAGACCAGGTTTACCCTGAGCACATCCGTTTTGACATTGAGCAAGCTTCTTACACCTGTGTCAACTGGCTGGACATTTCCGTACAAGCCGATATGAACGATGTTGTTATTGACGTCCAGTTCACTGAGGAGGCCTGGCTTTCGGGGAAGTGTGAGTACCCAGACAGGCAAAGGTGGCCACCATACCTGCATGAAGCTTCCTTTAACATGAAGGATTTCAAGCAACGTGTAAAAGCGATTGTATCTCGCTGGCAACAGATTGGCTTGAGTGAATCGCAGCTGAAGTTTGCAGTCGCTCACTTGATGGCCACACTTGCTAGGTTGCAATATCCGCAGAATCTTGTGATCAAGGGCCTCTGTAGGTACAGTTGTCCTGCTGTTGCTACCTGGGTCAAACACTGGCGTGACAACTTGTCTGACCCGTCTGCTAGGCCGCATGCCCGGGTAGTTCGGTTCTGTAGTTGAGGGGGCTGCGCTTGGGGTTGTTGGGGTGTTAGGACGGCGTCGTGTAGGTAGCCAGTCGTGATGGGCGGAAAGGCCGCCGTAGCCGTAGCCGGGATCGTCCACGTGACCATTCCAGTGGATATGGGGCTTGGTACAACTACAACTACCATCATGGCAAAGGGCGTTGGAATGGTGGTTATCACCAGAGCCACGGTACTGGCAAAGGGTATGGCAAGCCTTCCCATGCGACTAGTATGAGTCACGCGGCATATCTCGTGCATGAGCTTCAGGAGCTCGGGCGACAGCAACAGCAAGAGGCGCAAGCAACTTCGTTGCTGCAACGGTTTGTGGGCAACTTTAGCCAAGTACCCAGCCGGGAGACGCAAGAGGCCGGAAGCTCCACAGGTAGCCAGAGCCCAAACGTTTCGAGGGATCCGCCGTCTTGGCTGAAAGGCTTGTTGGATGGGCTTGCCTCCAAGTTTGGTGCAGGGGACGCTCCCTCGCAAGTGGGATCCATGGACACCTCGGGGATGCCGTGTGCCAGTAGCAGACTCGGCAGTGCAGGCAGCAATGCTGCCAACAACATCCCTTCAACCACAGAGCCCCAAGAGCTGTTGCAGCTAAGACAGGAGCTTGCGGCTCTGAAGGAAGAGAAGATCCGACGTGAACAGCAGGCAGAAAAGGACCGGTTGCAGTCTGATATCAAAGCACTCCGCGACTCCATGTCAAAACTGCCGGTGGAAACCGCGTCTGCAGAGAAGCCTGATGAAGAGCACACGGTGTTGCAGTGGCTGTCTGTGGATGTGGAGCAGTGGGATTTGGACAAGGTGTTAATCTCCTCGTCACAGCAGAAAGCTTGGATCTCTGGGGTGAGGCCTTCCATGAGCAAAGGCTGGACACGATCTCCTATCCCAATAAGCACATGGTTGTCAGCTGAGAAGTTGCGACTTAGTGATGACGACCTCAATTCGGCCTTAAAGAAAGCAGGATTGCAGAAGGCCACAGTCCTCACACGTGATCTCCACACACTACGCCTGTTGGTGAAGGTGTTGTCTCAACAGATGGAGTCTGAGTGACTACTTGTGCGCACTGCCTGCAGGCTCATGTCGAGCAGGTTTGTGCGCGATGTGATGTTGAGGCCCCTTTGGAGAGGCATCACTGTTGGAGTTTCGCTGCTAATCTGGATTGTTGGGCTTCTTCTGGCTGTGATGGCAGGTTTGTGGTGTTGTTTGCAATGCTACCACCCTGTACTCAGTCACATGGCTTCTGAGTTGCTTGGTACCCTACAACACGCAGTGGGCTCTGCAGTGGAAGATGCCATGGCAAAGAGTGCTAAGCAGACAGTCACAGATTTTGGTGTGAGTGGTGCTTCTGCGGTGTTGACGCAGTTGCTTCCAGTACAGTGGCGGCCCCTGGCCACAGCAAGCGTTGCGTCTCTGAGGGCTTGGAGTGCTGGATCTGACTCGTCGTACCTGACAGATGTCCGACATTTAATGTTTAATTAGGTGGGCTTTGTGTTACGAGACACATTGAGCTTCATCCCACCCGTAGTTTTAGTGAATCACTGTGTCACCGCATGCTTCAACCTTTGTGTGTATGGTTCCGTGCGAAATGATTTGTATGAGTATCTTGAAAGTTCATGAAATCGCTCGTTGCATTTGGCACGAGCATCAGTTAATTCATAGCTCCATGCTTGTGGCTTCATCACGTCACATACCAGCTCCTGGAGCAACCGCAGCTCAATCCAGGAGCAGGTGGGCGGAGCAGGGCGCTTGAAGCAAAACTGGTGACTGATCTACATCCGTAAGCATCGCTACATTAGTTCAGCAAGCTGGCCAGGCCGAGA